TATGTACATACATGTGTACAAATTAACATTCACACATTAGTGTCTCACATTTTGCTTTGGCTACTTCAACCGTTTGCACGCAACTACACGAACAGCTGCTTGTATGTATGTTTGTGTGTGTGTATGTATACTTAGTTGTCCCCAACTGTTTGATATTTTGTATTGTTTGTTCTGCCTGCATTTGTAAAATGCATATTTTAAAAATCGTTAAATGCAAAGTTGTAATTTTAGTTACGTAGATTATATTACCCAAAATTGAAATCGATCTGACAAAATTTATAACACAAACTTTTCATTTGAAAAAATGAATAAATATTAAAACCCCATAATTCAAGCTCCAACACAAATTTTGAAAAACCGAGTATGCAGTTTTGTTTGTATTCTATTATAGATAAAAACCAAATTTAAAGTTGATCGATTCAGAAATGCAGAATTTTCAAACAAACTTTGGAGCTACTTTTCCCCTCTTTGGAGCTCGAATTTTTCAAAATTCCTTCTTAGTGCGCATCTACACCATGATAGGATACTTGAGCCCAAATTTCAGTTTCTTAGCTTTTACCGTTTGGGCTGTGGGGTGTTGATTGTGTTTCAATTTTTCCACGGAAAACCCCCCCTTTTTCATGCCCCAGGAAAAATGGTGAAAAACCAAGTATACAATTTTTCTTGTATTCTTTTTGAAAAGAAGGGATTTTGGAAAATTCGAGCTCCAAAGGGGGGAAAAGTAGCTCCAAAGTTTGTTTGAAAAATCCGCATTTTTCAACCAATCGACTTAAAACTTAGTTTCTAAAATCAATTAAAGAATACAAACAAAACTGCATACTCGGTTTTTTAAATTTTTTGTTGGAGCTTGAATTATTGGGGTTTTCTTGGGGCACAAAAGGAAACCGCGTCAACAGCCCACAGCCCACACGGTAAAAGCTAGAAAGGTGAAATTTGGGCTTAAGTATCCTATCAGGGTGTAGATGCGCACTAAGAAGGGATTTTGGAAAATTCTAGCTCCAAAGGGAGGAAAAGTAGCTCCAAAGTTTGTTTGAAAAATCCGCATTTTTCAACCGATCGACTTAAAACTTAGTTTCAATCAATCAATTAAAGAATACAAACAAAACTGCATACTTAGATTTTGGGCATGCTTTGTGTTAAAGCTTGAATTATTGGGGTTTTAATATTTATTCACTATTTTAAATGAAAAGTTTGTGTTATAAATTTAGTCCAATCGATTTAAAATTTGGGTAATGTAATCTACGTGTAGATTTAGCTACAACTTTGCATTCAAGGATTTTCAAAATATGCATTTTACAAAAGCAGGCAGAACAAACAATACAAAATATCAAACAGTTGGGGACAACTAAGTATACATACACACACATACAAACAGCTGTTCGTGTAGTTGCGTGCAAACGATTGAAATAGCCAAAGCAAAATGTGAGACACTAATGTGTGAATGTCCATACATATGTGTACATCTATGTATGTACATATGTATCTACATATGTATGTATGTACATTCGTCTTGCACTGACAGAGCAAGAAATGTTAATTAATTGAAAATTAAATAACATTTTTAAAAGTAATTTTTTCTTTGTTTAGTGCATTTGGCATTAGGGTTTTCATTAATAACTTTATGCAGCAACAACAAATATCAAATAGTTGGGGACATCACATACACACACTCACACACACAACAAGCAACAGTTCGTGTCTATGTGTGCGGTTCTCTACGTACGGTTGAAAAAATAAAGAAAAACATACATATATATGTATGTATGTATGCCTGTGTATGAATATAGCATGTACGTACATTCGTATTAATGTATACATTGGGCAATCGAACACAGTTGTTTGATTGTAAAAAAAAAATTGCTCTAAAAACAACAACAACTGCAAGTCATTGGCTCGCTCTTCTTCTTTCGTTTTGACCATTTATTGTTAATTGCAAAGGCTAAACGCCAAAAGTTTACAGTTACCGTCGCTAGGCAACGACTGCGTAAGCGATAGTAAAGCAGAAACTGAATAACGGAGCTACGCATATTCTGCTTCGCATTGCGGGCAGATGTATGTATGTATATGATTTGTTCTTATTGATCTCAATAAATAATTAGATTTTATTATTTAAATATTCTGCTTATTGCATTCAAACTTCGATATTTTGATGGTATCGGTGGCTTCAACTATCGAAAGTTTTACTCTAGCAAATTGAGATGAGAATTGTCAGTGCTTTTTGATCGTGGCTCATCGCTGCACGGCATTGACACGAGTGCCCTGTTTCATATTCCGAGTTTGTGCGTGACCGTATTGACTCAATATGGCACGAAAAGTCTCAAATGTGAATTTAAAATTAGGATATACCCTTATAATTATTCCCCTTTTTTGCACATAGTCTATCTTAAAACGTTGCGTTATCTCTATATATAAAACAGCTTGTCCTGACTAATTGGTGATCAACGCACAGCCCAAACGGTAAAAGATGAAATTTGGACTCAAGTATCCTTTCATAGTATCCTTCATAGTGTAGGAGCACACTAAGAATGGCTTTTGGAAAATTCTAGCTCCAAAGGGGGGAAAACGAGCTTTAAACAAGACAAGAGAACGCTACAGTCGAGCAAGCCCGACAGTAAAATAGCCTGTACTCTCCACAAAAAGGAAAAATTAAAAAAAAAAAAAAAATTAAATTATTAAAAAAAATGAATGAATTAATTAATTAAAATAATTAATTAAACTAAATTAGAATACATGTTTATGTTCAGTTTAAACAGCATACATTTACATCACGTACCTATGCGTGCTTATATGCGTGTATGTATGCAGCACAAAGTTAAACCAAAGCAGCAACAACAACAACAGCTGCAGGCAGCGCTGCCGACAGAGCTGCAGGCAGCGCATGAGCAGCGATTTTACTTATGGCTATAACTTTCTTCAGAATTGACCTATCATGATGAAATTTGGCACACTGACACATTAGTACTAACTGGATGTACCTACCAAAATTGATTTTTAAATTCCGAGAATTACGGAAGTTATAAGAAAAAATACGGGGGAGTGGGGGGTGTGGAGGCGTGGCAGACCCCACAAAGTATATATATTCTTGATCAGCATGACGAGACGAGTCGATCTAGCCCTGCCCGTCCGTATGAACACATGGATCTGAGAGACTATAAGAGATAGAGACACCAAATGTTGCACAAAGATGCCTTATGTGTGTATTCTATACGAGTTTGTTTTATTTTTTTTTGATTTACCCCCCCCCCCCCCCCCCCCGATTTTCGATTCGAATTATCACCCCCCTCTCCCATGCAAATCGCGATTTTCTCTCCCGTAATTCTTAGAATTTTGAACTACAATTTTGCAAGTACCCCCAGTTAGTAATTAGGAGTCCGTATGCCAAGATTCATCATGATAGACCGATTTAACAAGCCATAAAAATATTGACTGCTGCAGCGCTGCCTGCGGCTGTTGTTGATGCTGGTGCTTTGGTTGACTGCGAACATGCTTACACAGACACGAATATACGAGCATATACATACATACACTCACATAGACGCAAGTGTTTTGTATATGTGCAATTATACACCATTTACGTGAGTTCGAATACCGATATCGATAAAAAAATTTTTTTTTAATTTTCTCAATTTTTTTATACCCTGTACCCAAAGGGTAAAAGGGTATATTAGTTTTGTGCGAGTGCACATGGAACACACAGAAGGAGGCTTGGTAGACCCCACAAAGTATATATATTCTTGATCAGCATGACAGGCCGAGTCGATACAGCCATGTCCGTCTGTCCGTCTGTCTGTCTGTATGAACGCATCCTCCGAAAGTATAAGAGCTAGAATAACCAAACTTGGTATACAGATTCTCCTGAGACCTAGAAAGGACGAGTTTGTTCATTTTTTCTGATCCACCCCCCACTCCCCCCCTATTAACGATTTTCTATAACTCCCGTAATTCTTGGAATTTTGCACTAAAATTTGGTAGTCACATTAGGTTAGTAATTATATAACCGTATACCATTATTCATTATGATAGAATGATCGGAAAGAAAATTATAGCCATATAACCAGGCCCAATGCACACATACATACATATGTACAAGTACACAAACACGCATAAGGGACGATTCTGATGTAAATGTATGTATTCATGCATGGAATATTTTATATTTAATTAGTTAATATTTAGTTAATTAATTAAATTAATTTAGTTAATTAATTTGGTACAGGTTATTTAATAGTTGAGCCTGCTCGACTTTAGCATTCCTTTCTTGTTTATTTTCTATAATTATTGTAAACATATGTACAGATTATTTCAAAGGCGGGACACCCGACTTTAGCTTTTTTACTTTTTACTTTGGTGGGAGGGAAATTCCAAAATACACATTTTCTGCGTATTTACATAAGACATAAATTTGGTTTCCGTAGGTCTTATAGTCTCCGAGATATAGGCGATTATGCGAATGGAAAATCGGGAAAACCCCCATAGGGTGAAGTGGGGGGGGGGGGGGGGGAAATAAAAAAAAAATAAAACAAACTTGCACAGCGTACACACATAAGGCATCTTTGTGCAAAATTTGGTGTCTCTAGCCTCTTATAGTCTCGGAGATCCAGGTGTTCATACGGACAGACTGACAGGCGGACAGACAGACAGGGCTAGTCTGCCACGCCTCCTTCTGCCTGTTACATTTTTCAGCTCCCGCAAACCTAATATACTCTTGTTCATTTTATGTCATGAGTATAAAAAATATATACCTCCACAGCGGATATATAAAAGGCATTTGTTGGCAAAATTGCTAGCAATATCTATCTTTAGCTCTTATAGTCTCTGATAACTTTGGCGGCACTGTAAAAAGGACCAACTTTAACTAGTGATGTTACTGAAGTAACAGAAGTGAATACCAGCAGTTGAAGTAAAGCACAAAAAAACTATTATAGAGCTACGAAGCAAAAATAGGGGAAACATGTTCGCCAATTATTTTGGGATTTTCGGTATGCCCATTACTTACTTACCTCATATTTCGCTTCATCGCAGACACAACAATATTTCAGCGGCGGCGTCGAGGAGTTTAGCTCGTCAATTTCTTCCGGACAGATTCGCTTTGTTAAGAAGCCATCGTCAATAAACCAGACATCACGATGTTGTAATACGGCAGCCTTGATCAGAACGCAACCGCTCTCTGTTAACTTGGGTGCCACCCAGGATACCTGAATACGATTCTTTGGATTCGAGTTAGTATTTTCGACCATATTGTCGCAACCCAGGCTGAATTTAGTATCGGCATCGTTAAAGAGTTCAAAATGTCCTGTCCTGTCTAAATCACTTTCGTGTAATACATCGTCTTCGATCTCCACAACTAAGGTAAAACTGATGAATTTAAGGTTGTGTGGACAGGAGAGTGATACTAAAAAAAAGGGGTGGTGTATTTTGGTGTAAAATGTTGCTCAATCTTACCATTATATTTATGATCGGGAATGTATGTTGTAGGATTTCCATCTATAAGTATTTTAAAGTTGTCATCTACCGAAGAGCGCTCACCGCTGGCATGCACTGGAATGCGATTGCAACTACCTAGCACGTTATTCGGTAGCAAGCAAATCACAATAATTGTGAACATTGGCCACATTTTTCCAGAATAAGTAATCTACGTCTTGTCACTTAAGCGACCGAAAAACAATTAAAATTTTCTATGAAATTTGTATCGCTTTGTTGCCGAAATTGAGTGATTTATATTCTATTTAATCATTGATGTCGAATGATATCTTTTATTGTGTCTCAGACTGTCAAATGACACCGACGCCATCAAAAAGAGTCTTTAATTGAGTGTTCTTTGCATTTTCACTTAAAGAGTCACAATTCAATTTAAATACTTACATCATATGAATTAAAGTGTTCTTGTGCTTATGTCAACAAATTCATCTGTCGTTGCTTCATCACGCATATAAACATAAAAAGAATAAGTAAAATAGCTAAAGTCGTGTGTCCCGACTTTGAAATACTCTATACATATGTTTAGAATAATATAAAAATTAAAAAAAATTTTGATCCATTTTACCTTTATTCGAACTCACGTAAAGTATATATGATTTAACATATACAAAGCAATTGCGTCTATGTGAGTGTATGAATGTCTATGTGCGTCTATTCGTGTCTGTGTGAGCATGTTTGCAGTCAATTTAAGCACCAACATCAACCACAGCTGCGGGCAGCGCTTGGGCAGAAAATATACTTATATCTATAACTTCCTGTTAAATCGGTCTATCATAGTGAGTTGCTATATATCCCTGGATTTTTGCGTTTGATACAGAAATAATTATACTCTGTACATGAAATGTACAAGAGTATATTTGGTTTACGGGAAGTGAAAAATGTAACAGGCAGAAGGAGGCGTGGCAGACCCCACAAAGTATATATATTATAGATTAGAGTGACAAGACAAGTCGATCTAGCCCTGTCTGTCAGTCTGTCAGTCTGTCCGTTCGTATGAACACCTGGATCTCAGAGACTATAAGAGCTAGAGGCACCAAATTTTGCACAAAGATGCCTTATGTGTGTACGCTATACGAGTTTGTTTTATTTTTTTTATTTCCCCCCCCCCCCACTTCCCCCCTATGGGGGTTTTCCCGATTTTATATTAGGTTGCGCGAGCTGAAAAATGTAACAGGCAGAAGGAGGCGTGGCAGACCCCACAAAGTATATATATTCTTGATCAGCATGACGAGACGAGACGAGTCGATTTAGCCCTGTCTGTCCGTCTGTCCGTCCGTCCGTATGATCACCTAGATCTGAGAGACTATAAGAGATAGAGACAACAAATTTTGCACAAAGATGCCTTATGTGTGTATTCTATACGAGTATGTTTTATTTTTTTGATTTTCCCCCCCACTTCCCCCCTATGGGGGTTTTCCCGATTTTCCATTCGTATAATCGCCTATATCTCGGAGACTATAAGACCTAGGAACACCACATTTTAGTCCAAGATGCCTTATGTGAATACGCAGAAAATGTATATTTTGGAATTTCCCTCCCTCCCCCCTCTACCCCTCAAATCGTAACTCCCGTAATTCTTGGAATTTCGAACTAAAATTTGGAAATACCCCAAGGTGGTTATTATGTGTCCGTATGCCAAGTTTCACTATGATAGACCGATTTAACGGGAAGTTATAGCCATAAATATATTTGCTGCTGCAGCGCTGCTCAAGCGCTGCCCACGGCTGTTGTTGATGCTGGTGCTTTGGTTGACTGCACTCATGTTTACACAGACACATAGATGCGCATAGGCATACATACACTCACACAGACGCAATTGCTATGTAAATGTGCAATTATAAGCTCTTTACGTGAGTTCGAATACCGAGAGAGGTAAAAACGATCTAAAATTTTTTTTTTAGTACTATTCGAGAGCTATGAGATTATGTAAATCAAGTAATTTCTAGAATTAAAAGCTGTACAATTTGGAAAAGTTATTTGGTCAACTTATACAACTGCACAACATTTAAATGAGCATACACACATCTCTATATATATAAAACAGTTTGTCCTGAGTGACTGATTGGTGATCAACGTACAGCCCAAACGGTAAAAGCTAGGAAGCTGAAATTTGGACTTAAGTATCCTTTCATAGTGTAGGTGCCCACTCCACTTTGTTTGAAAATTCTGCATTTCTGAACCGATCAACTTTAAATTTGATTTTTATAATCTACTTGTAGGTATTGCTCGTCTTAGCCCGGCTCAATATAATGTTTCCAATTGTATTTATTTTGTGTGTGCATAACCTACTCATATGTTTTCACCTTATAAGTTACCAGTAGGAAGGCATTTAAGGTATTTAAATGAACATTTTCTGTTTTTGACAAAAAATTTTTCAGTAGTCCGTTACATTTTTGTTCTTGCCAAACTATTTCGTTAAACGAACACACCACTATAACTAATATTTTTTAAAGCTCGTTTTCCCCCCTTTGGAGCTAGAATTTTCCAAAAGTCTTTCTTAGTGTGCTCCTACACTATGAAGGATACTATGAAAGGATACTTGAGTCCAATTTCATCTTTTACCGTTTGGGCTGTGCGTTGATCACCAATTAGTTAGGACAAACTGTTTTATATATAGGGATAACGCAACGTTTTAAGATAGACTATGTGCAAAAAAGGGGAATAATTATAAGGGTATATCCTAATTTTAAATTCACATTTGAGACTTTTCGTGCCATATTGAGTCAATACGGTCACGCACAAACTCGGAATATAAAACAGGGCACTCGTGTCAATGCCGTGCAGCGATGAGCCACGATCAAAAAGCACGGACAATTCTCATCTCAATTTGCTAGAGTAAAACTTTCGATAGTTGAAGCCACCGATACCATCAAAATATCGAAGTTTGAATGCAATAAGCAGAATATTTAAATAATAAAATCTAATTATTTATTGAGATCGAGGCCAACCGTGGACAGCCAACTCATAATGGTTTCGATGCAGCGATCGCATGCATCTTCCTCAGCCCTGATCTCTTTAGCAACGACTACAATCGCTATGTCGTCTGCGTAACCCACTAGTTCCGTGCCAGGCGATAGCTGAAGGCGGAGAATTCCGTCGTACATGACGTTCCAAAGCAGCGGCCCTAAGACCGACCCCTGTGGAACTCCAGCGACGACATTAACGGTTTTGGTGCCTGATGAGGTATGGTATCTAAGTAAGCGATTGCTTAGGAAACCCCTGAGCTGCAAGTGCGTTGAGGATGCATCCCCAATCTACCGAGTTGAACTCGTTTTTGACGTCGAGGGTCACCACAAGGCAGTACTCCTTTGATCCACCTTTCCACCTGTTGTCTGATATCGCCTTAGATGCGATGTCCACCACTTTGCTGATTGCGTCAATCGTGGACCTCGATTTCCTGAACCCGAATTGGTTTGGAGATAGGCCGATGGCTGCCTCGAGCCTCACGCACAGCAATCTCTCCAGCCCCTACCGATTGAGTCCAGGAGACAAATCGGCCTATACGACGAGGGGTCTTCAGATGGCTTGCCAGGTTTTGGCAGCAGGACTAGGTTCTGAACCTTCCAGAAATCTGGGAATATTCCTTCTCTGATGCAATTTCCAAAGAAAGCGGCGAACGTCTCGGGGTGCATGCACAATGCGTGTGTGTGTGTGTGTATGTATACTTAGTTGTCCCCAACTGATTGATATTTTGTATTGTTTGTTCTGCCTGCTTTTGTAAAATGCATATTTTGAAAATCCTTGAAATCAAAGTTGTAGATTTAGTTACGTAGATTACATTACCCAAATTTTAAATCGATCGGACTAAATTTATAACACAAACTTTTCATTTGAAATAGTGAATAAATATTAAAACCCCAATAATTCAAGCTCCAACACAAATTTCGAAAATCTAAGTATGCAGTTTTGTTTGTATTCGAATTTTCCAAAAGCCCTTCTTAATGCACATGTACACTATGATAGGATACTTGAGCTTCTAGCTCTTACCGTTTGGGCTGTGGGCTGTTGACGTGGTTTCCTTTTGTGCCCCAAGAAACCCCCAATAATTCAAGCTCCATCAAAAAATTTAAAAAACCGAGTTCAGAAACCAAGTTTTATGTCGATCGGCTAAAAAATGCGGATTTTTCAAACAAACTTTGGAGCTTAGTGCGCATCTACACCATGATAGGATACTTGAGCCCAAATTTCAGCATCCTATCTTTTACCGTTTGGGCTGTGGGGTGTTTATTGTGTTTCAATTTTTCCACGGAAAACCCCCCCTTTTTCATGCCCCAGGAAAAATGGTGAAAAACCAAGTATACAGTTTTTCTTGTATTCTTTTCTAAGTTTGAAGTTAATTGGATGAAAATTGTAGATTTTTCATACAAACGTTGGAGCCCGTTTTCCCCCCTTTGGCGTTCGAATTTTCCAAAAATTTTCTTAGTGCTCACTTTCACTATAAGAGGGATCTTGTGTCCAAATTTCAGCTTCCTAGGTCTTACCGTTTGGGCTGTGCGTTGATTGCCAATCAGTCAGTCAGTCAGTCATTCAGGACAAACTGATTTATATATAGAGATGTATGTATAGAGGCGGATAACGCCTGCATGAAAAATTTAAATGTATGTACATATCATCGTTGCCGAATTCTCCAATTTTGGCGGGACGTCCCGATTTATAAATCAAAATTAAATGTCCAGCGTCGGACTTTTCGGGGATAACTCGATCGTGCGTACAACATGCTGAGAAAGCACACAGTTAAGTCAGGACTGGCAGTCCGCCCGGTGCGTAACGAAGATATGTACATATGTATGTATGTACGTATACCATACATAGTACTTATTGTACTATATTTGCTATTTGGGAAATGAATTCTTGAAAAAACTTTAGAGAGCGTCGAAAGAAGAATATCATATAGTAAATAAACTTATAATTATAAGCACATTTTACTTAGCCCAGCAAAGATGGGCAAGACCTGCTAGTATGTACATATATACATATCCCTTCGTTTGGCACAATCTCCGATTTGATTGATTTTTGGTTTATATATACTAATATTATAAAGAGGAAAGATTTGATTGTTTGTTTGATTGTTTGTTTGTTTGTTTGTTTGAATTGAAAAGGCTCGGGAAGCTACATTATCGATGGTTAGCATGGGCT